CCGATTTCAAGTTTTTCCACTTTAAATCCATGTATTCTTTCTTTTTTAATGTAATTTCTCTTTCTTGTATGTGTTTGTTGCATGTTTTACAGCTTCCCCCAACAACCTTGATATAAGTATTTGAATAAAAAAAAATTTAAGTTGGTTGTGGAATGATGTAAACTCCAATTTTAATAAATTGAAATTGAAATGAATATTTTATTGAGACAAGCTCAACCACAGAAAAAGTATTTAGATTTGTGTTCAAATGAATATAAATGAAGCACTCACAAATATAGTTGAAAATTTTGTGACACTATTTGAATGACTCAATAATCTTTGAATATTGCATGCTTATATATCTTGATTTGAATATATATGCATAAGAGCTTTGATAAGCATACGAGATGATATTACAAGAGAAAATAAGAATCATATATATTATGTCATCAAGCATATGCTAAGTATGAAAGCATATTGATTGCACTTATCAAGAATATGCTTTAGAGTCATGAAATATTATACTTATTATATGCTAGAAAATTTGAGTATGTAGAGTATATATTTTATGTCATAATGTTATCTAAAATTCAACATGTATAAATAAAAATAGTAAGATCGATCAGAATTTTTTTTTACGTGGAAAATTTTGGAAAGAAAAAAAAATCACAGGGCCTTGCCCAATTAAAAAAAAAAATCCATTATATAACAGGTGATACAAAAATCCCCCTTTTATCATAGGCTAAAATAAGAGGAGATTATTTGAAAGTTAATGTCTGTTTTTTCCTGAGGATTAGGATTATAGAATTATCTACAAATAGATAATCAATACGCAACAACAGAGCTTAATTTCTTTTATAGGGATTACATGTGTATGGTGTCCATCAACAGACAATTGAAACCCAAAAACAAGAATAAATCTTGAAAAGAGTCTGAAGATGGCGGAGATTATTGATGGCGATCACCAATAATGATGATGGTTGTCAGTAGCAATAATTGATAGGGGTTGTTGGTGGAAATATGTGATGGTGGTCGTTAGTGGCGATAGTTGGAATATGCAAAAGGCTATCCAATTTTGTTATTTCTCCCCTCATCTCATGTGAAGAATGTGATTCTATTTATAGGTTTTTTTTTATGGATATTTTAATAATTTGAACTAGAATCCAAAACTCTTCATATTGATTCCCTTGATCACAAAATATTTATTCAACGTCTAAGTGCCCTAATAATGTTAAAATTGAGTGATCTTAGGCTAGTTGGATTCATCTCATCGAGCCGCTCGACTTGACTATAAGCATATCTAATTTGAAGATTATTTTGTCATCAAATTAATGTTTAAAGTTTCTAATCATACTTTAAGTGTTTGATTTGGGTTTATTTGGGCTCAAATTGAACCACCTTTAATACCGTTGGGTTCCTCTCATTGAGATGTTTAGTTCGACTATAAACATGCTGAAATTAGTGTTCATAAGATTTTGAATTTAATTCCAAGAATTTTCAATTCCAATTTTATCTCTAGATTCATGCCAAACCGATCAAATTTTTTGTAGATATATCAATGACTTATATATTAGTAATTTTATGTCATATAGCTAATTAATTTGCCTTATCATGCTTATGCTAGTTGCGAAATTGTTACGTGCGGTCACTGGACACCATCCGGAGGCCAATTAGGATGTGCTACGTCACTAATTTACTGTGTATGATTACTGTGTACCGTTGTGTATCGGGTGACGTGACGTGCCTTGATTGGTCTCCAAATGATCCGGTGACCGCACGTAACAATTTCTCATGTGCTAGTCAGTCATAATTAAACTACCTCCTAAGATGTTATCATAATTCCACATGTATTTTCTACATTGATTATTTCCAATCTAAATAATCCAAATTGCAAAATAGATAGGTACATATAGCCTCTAACCGAAGTTACAGAATAACTGAAAATCTTATGGGAAGAAGGTGTGGGTAAATATACATGATATTTATTTAAAGTATAATTGATATATGAAAACTACTTATATGAATAAATGACTATTTTTTTAACATATGGTATGATATATAACAGATCATATCATTATAAAAAAATTAGCTTATTAATATTCAAAGTTTGATTCATTTAAAATAATAGATGCCTATATGTGATTTGTGTTTGACTCATTTCTTGCTTAATGAGTTTTTAACAAATGAACATTATCAATCTATTGATTTGAGCTTTATTTTTTAAATGTTCATTAGCTGAAAAACAAGCTGAGCCTACTAACAAATAATTTTGTAAAGCTTGTTTACAAACATATTTAACGAGTTTTTTCAATCTACCGAACGAATCCGTTCAAGAAAAATGAGTTAAAAAAATAATTATTCTTAGAAATAAGTTTGTTCATGAACACTATTAACAATCAAACAAATATAAACAAACACATTCTACTGAAAAATAAAACATAAAAATGAAATTAGTTTTTTTATTTTATAAAATAAGAGTAATTTATTATAATAAAATTAAAATTATGTAAAAAAATATTAAATAAAGATTTAAACAAGAATTAATCAATTTTTAAGGAACTTATTCACAACCTTGTATTAAATATTAATCGAGCTTCTTATCAAGCTTACTCACACACTTTAATTGATACTATTCATGATCAATATAAACAAATTGAACGCATATTTGTTCAAACTTATTTATTTAATAGTCGAGTATTTTAAAAATTATTCAAACTTAGACTTCGTTTGGGACAACTTTCTTACTGCTTCTTAAAACAGTTTTCTAGTTCAAAATTTTTAATTTTTGTACTAGATAGCTGGTTTAAGAAGCAATAAGAAAGCTGCCCGAAATCAAACTATATTTGATTACTTAAACAAACGTAACCGAGTCGAGTACAAGTAACTTTTCAAACACTTAATTCATTTATAACTCTAGTACCAATAATTCATGTATCATTATTTGTTTTATTTTAACTCATGTATTGTAAATTCAATTCTCATTTTATTAGAAGAGCAATAACTTCTTATATTTCCCATCTTGGTGAGTTATGAAAAACATTTGTTACCATTACAACTTAATTTAAGATTACTTGTGGCAAAAAACAAATGTGATGATATCTGCCAAGCTCTTAAAATTATAAATTTAAGCCCCCCAAGTTTACTTCATTCAGTTCTTGAAGAAACTTTTAAACTTTTTTTTTTCCTCTTTGGTCGAAATAATTTAGGTTTCGTTTGGGGCAGTTTTTTTATTATTTTCTAAAGCAATTTTTTAGTACAAAATTTTCAAATTCAAGAAATTGTCGTACTAAAAAATTGTTTTAAAAAACAATAAAAAAACTACAAAACCTTAATTTCTAAAATTATGTACATAAACAAAGAACTAATAGTGGTCAGCAAAATTATATATAATAATCATGAAAAGAAATAAAATTGAACAATCCTTCCGAGGTTTCGTTTAAGATAATTTTTTTATTGTTTTTTAAAGTAACTTTTTAGTATAAAAAGTTCTAGAACTCGAAATTTTTGCATTAAAAAGTAATAAGAAAGTTGTTCCAAACGAAACTCGAAATCATTAAAGCTTTCTTAGATTGGGGTAAGTATAATATCATTTTGGCACACTATTTTTGAAATTAAATCATATTTTATTTTCTTTTTGTTTTTCAACAAAGGATAGATAGCCAGAAGTGTTGGTTTTCCACTAAATAGAACTCTATCATCTTACTTATATAAAAATTAATTATCATACCCTAATGTTGACAATAGTGTTTAATACTCTTCAAAAGCTAGATTATAAATTTTAAAATTTGATTAAAGTTTAAAAAAATTGACACTCGCGTATAGTCACGTGAGCCGATCTTTTCCAGCATTTGACTATTACAAATCATGGTAGAAGAGCTCGTATTTTGTGGGTCCACAAAGGAGCTCTTCTGTCATGACCCGTTAACTGCCTGCTAAATACCTAGCTATTATTGATGCTTATACAAAATTGTGATTATAAAGTTAAAAGTATGATTAAGCAATGTCTCTTTTACCTAATTTTTTTAAAGCATGTACACTAAACATAAATATAAGGTCACACTTTACTTTAGAACAGCTAGAATTAAAATAACAAAAGTCAGGTTAAATTATATATAGCATTATTGAGACACTCAATACCGGAGATTTTTGCAGACTTAAAATTTTTTTCATAATATTTAACTGATAATAGAGATGAAGGGTCTATTAGCTAGGGACAACTATAATATTTTATAAAGCTGACAGTCAAGTTGTTGTGAGGAAAATAATTTTTTTGAAAGTACTATGAATATGAGAAATATATTCTTTTTTAAAAAATTGAAAGTTTGCTTTCTTAAAGTTATCATACAAACCCCAAAACTTTTAAGAAATATCAAAAAAATAGCAAGAAAATGTTAGTCAAACTAAATTATCGAAGTTTAGAGACCAAGCTTTACTCTCGATTGAATATTGGTGACGATTTTTCTGTTTTTTGTGGAGTTTTTAGCAATTATAACAGTATCTCATTAAGCGTTTAAAATCTTCATTAAAGTTTCGTTTGTGATAACTTTTGATCAATATTTTGTCATTATTTTTAAAATAATTTTTGTACTAAAAAGAAGTAAGAAAACTGTCACAAACGAAGCCTAAAACACTTCAATCTAACCCAATGTAAGCATGCAACAAAAACAACTAACTCAACTGTGCCAAAGAATATATATCAAAATCTTCATCATTCATGAAATATATTATGAACAATAAACCAGTTTTTAGAGCATGAAGCACTGCAGAATGGTTGCTTTCCTTCATGATAATATATATATAATCAAACAAAATGATATATCTTTGCATTATTAATTAAAGTATATATAACTCTTAGTAAGCAATAAGAAGCTTAAGTAGCAATTCTTTTGTGTGGCTTTAGGAAATTCATGCTTCGTTTGTAACAGCTTAGCTTTTTTCTGCTTTCTAAAATAGCTTTTTAGTAAAAAAATTTCTTGAATCTGAAAATTTTATACTAAAACGTCATTTTAAAAAGCAGTATAAAAGCTGTCCCAAACAAACCTTATTCCTTTATAAAATCTCTTCCACAGTGTCATCATAATGGGCATTTGAAATACCATGCTTGATGTACAATATAACTGTACTCAAATTTTCAATCAAGTAACAAATTCATCAAAATTAATGAATCTTTGCTTCCCCACCCTTAAATTGATAACTTCAGCTCCAAATCGAGCTCTTGCGAGTTGCTGGAATCTGATACTTGGCTGTTTGATCCAGTGGAATAGCTTCTGTCATGCCTGATTCTCTTCTGCACAAGATCCTGAAGAAGAAAATGAATCATTTACAGGAAGAAAAATATTTTTTTTGGTAATAGTGTAGCATTCTTTATATTTCAGCCAACCTCCATGAGTGGTAAAGTAACTGGTCCAAAATGATTTGCCTGTGATACACTGCTGCTTCTATTATTTGCATAAAACCTAGCAAAATGGTAGAAGAACACAAGAAAACTCCAGTCAAGCTAAATTGTCTACTGTAACAAGATAGAACAAATACTCTTTATATTTCTCATAAGTTTATATTTAACATTCCACATATGATTTAGGTGATAAATTTATATTTTTTTTATAGAAGTAAGAAGCATTAGTAAACTTTATAATACAGAAACCCTAGTTTGAGTCTCAAGTACCTTGGTGAAAGATTGAACTGAGTGTCAGCAAAGCTAATATCTTCATTTCTGCTCTCTCCATATCCCACCTGAAACAGAAATCAGAAATAATGATGGGTCACTCTGTTCAATTCAAATAGTTCATCCAGTTTCTAATCAATTAATCTGTGACGAGAACATGGGAAAAAAATTAAAATAACCAGAGATTCAGATAATATAAAACTGGGATGAACAGTAGAAACTGGGAAGATTTAAAAGTGCTAGACAAGAGAAAAAGGTTGGAGAAGAAGACCAGTTCATGACCAGTCTTATCTATTGTGCTTGAGTATAGGCAACAAAATCCTTGAGGTTACTTACTATAAGCAGTACTAAAAGGGTACGGAGCAAAAATTAAAAAGAAATTAATTACATAGATAATTGAGAAGTGAGAAGTGAAAGGCATACTAACCATGGCCAGATTACTGGGAAAACAAGGATAAACTGATTGTTGACTGTAACTAGACATCAACTGGCTTTGAATTCTGATCTTTTCAAGCTGAGCCACACCAAGACCTCTCTGCGGTTGCTTTGGCCTCTCCATACCGCTTTTCTTTCCTTTCCTTGAACTTCCAGTACCTGATGATCTTCCACCTCCAAGCTCAATCTCTCCATGTTGGCTGCTCCCCATCTCTTGATGAAGAAAAGAAGAGAGAGAGAGAGAGAGAGATGAGTTATGACAAGATAGCTTGAAAGTGAAAGGGACAGAAAGCCAAGGCACCTTTTAAAGTGTGTTGGAATTAAGAAATTTGTGCCTTCCTGGATTGTGGATTGCCGAAGATTACAAGGAGATATTCTTTACTTTTGTGTCCTTCGCCTTGGTGTTGAAGATCTCTTCCTATTCTTTCGGTTACTAGAAGCACCATGTGCAATGGATGGCTAATAATTAATAGCAAAAGACTGACTTAGAGGCAAGATTTGATAGAGATACACTTAGCTTTAGGGGTTTTCTTTCATTAAATGGACCTCATATAACGTTTTGTAGCTCAAGATGCATCTGTATACTTTATGCATGTCTCATCACTACAGGTAGCTAGATATTGTCATTAAAGACCTAGTTAACAGGAATAAAATTATTCTTTTTACCGGCAAGACAACCGAGGCACACTTCTAAATTTAGAAGCTATTTCAGCTCACGTTGATCTATATGATGGTTGGAAGTTTTAGCTATTAATCAAGAGATTTTCAATTCAGAGTCTTGTGCATGTGATGTATATATGCAATTAGGTTGTGAAACCAGACAATAAATTGGAAAAATGAGAGATTCACAATTTGACCGGTTTGATCGGGGTAGAACTGAATGACGTAATAAATAATAATATTATTAAAATTAGTAAAATTAATATAATAATATGACGATCTAACTTTAAACTTAAACACAAATCACATTTTATAAATAATATAATCCATATTTAATATAAAATAAGTATATATATATATATATTTATTATAAATAATTTCTAATTTAATTTCTAATTTATTTTATATGTTTAAATATAATTTATACTTATGAAAGTATATCAAATTATATCTATTAATTTATTATATATATATATATATATATATATATGGATAATATATATGTGCTCATCCCAAAGTTTTGGAGTATTATGAGAAATTATTATGATGGAGGTACAATCAAATTTAAGATCTTAACAACTTTTATGCTTTGTTTGGGATGACTTTCTTACAACTTATTAAAGCAGCTTTTTTAGTATAAAATTAAGAATTTCGATTTGGAACAGCTTCCTTCTGTGCTTTCTAAAACAACTCCTATAAAAAATTTCTTAAATTTGAAAATTTTGCATTAAAAAACAGTATGAAGTCGTCCCAGACGAAGCCTAAATATGTATTGAAAAACTCCTTTAAAAGCAATAAAAAAATTGTCTCAATTGAATCCTTAAATTTTTACTTAACTAAACTCATTGACACTTATCTATTTTCTATACACATTTGTATGTGTACTGTATGGTGTTGATGCATACAAATTAATTTTCTGGTGGATGCAAAGAAAGAAATAGTATGATTTCATAATTCATGATAACCTAGATTGGATTTTCAATGCACGTGTGAAAGATCTTAGAATGAGACAAGTCTACCAAATGATTGGTTTATCTTTACGTCAGCTAGAATGTGCTTAAGCAAATTCTAATAATTCAGCCCCTTACATTAATCAGATCCAGCAAAATTTTCTTCTAGCACAAACTTAATGATTAATGACTAGGCGACTCTGTGTATTCAGGTTCCCCTTACTTCGAGCTTAGAATGAATTACAAAGCTTCTACTTCATTATCATTTAAAGAATTGGATCTGATCATTAAAATGATGCACCTAAAAATGATCAATTGCAAATACGCACCCGTTAATGCTTTTAGCACTTTCTTCTCTTATTGTCCTAAAATAATTGGATTAATTCATTCCTATCTGCGGATGCCGAACTGTCATTCGGAGACTAACCAAAACGTGTCACGTCACCCAGGCGCTCGGATACGCACGCTCCGGTAATGGCTGACATTGGAGTGATCTGGTTGGTCTCCGGATGACGTTCTACGTCCGATCTTCACACTGAATAATTTCTCCTAAACTTCGACCGTCAATGATATAAGGGCGTATGCATAGGTTTCCTTTCTTGACTTTTACTTCTACTATCATCTTAAAGGTTGCATCATCTACTCGTTATCAATTTCTATATATAACAACTTCTGAGGAAGAGTGAAGATGATCACTACATTAGAGAAAGATGATGAAGTATACAAGCTCTCCATTCTCAATAGCTCTTGATTTTCTTTAGTTAGAGCCTTAGAGAGGAGTTTCATCTCAAAATGCTCTCAAAAGTCCCACAACAAGAAAAATAGTCTGTTAAAAACTAAAATTAGATGACGTGAAAAAATTT